TTCCAACAGAGTTCATGGTCTGACTCTGCCTCCTGCCGAGATAGTCACATCCCTAGCTTCCTGCTGCTGTTTCTCAAGAAGACTCCTTGAAGCCTGCTGCAGCATCTTTAACCCCTTGTGTCTATTCTCTACAATAATAGATACTAATGATTTGTGTGAAGAGTACTGCGTGACCCCAGAGTAATAAAGATTGGAATTAAAAAGCTGGTTTGCGAACAGCCAGCTATCAAGAGCTGAGTGTGGTGACGTGTGCTTTCGATCTTCAAACTTGGAAAGCAGAGGCAGGTGGATCTCAGTGAGTTTGAGGCCAGCCTGGTCTACATAGATAATTCCAGGCTAGCAAGGATTATACAGGAAGAGCTCTGTCTAGAGGGAGAGAGGGAGGGAAAAGAAGGAGAGGGGAGAGAGAGAGGGAGACTCAGAGAGCTATATACACAGAGAAACAGAGAGAGCTACACATACAACACACAGAGAAAGAGAGAGGAGAGAAAGATTCGATTCATCTAGCCAATAGCTGCAAATGTGAACATATTGCTCCTCAATATATTCTGAGAGTGTCAAAAGAGACAAACACACCTGCCTGTTTCTGGCATTCTGCTTTTATAACACATGCTAAGTAGATCCTTTCCCTTTCAGCATCTCGGCCCCCAAGAAGGAGAACTCTGTCTACAAGGATAGACTCTTTGTCCCCGCAGCTGTTCAGATGGAGAGGTGTGCTGTAGTAGACTGATTTGAAGGTGAAGGTGGCCCTGTGGTAATTCGGAAGGTGAGGGGGGGGGGGCTCCTGACCCCAGAGCCAGATATTTCTGGACAAGGTTCAGATGTGTGTATGGGATACCATATTCTCTCTTCCCTGTTACGGAGGTATGGCAGTGGCTTGGATGTGGCTGCTTTTTTTTTTTTTTTTTCTTTGACCAGAGTTCATGTTGAGGTTTGGTCATCAATTAGATGGTGCTGAGGGATGCTAGTGGTACTTGAAGAGAAAAACTCCCTAGCTGCCTAAGTAAGTCATATAGAGGCTTTCTTTACTGCTGGCTGGACTGTCCCAGGCAGAGCAGTGGGAAGCAGCCTTGACCTCCAGTTTGCTTGAGTTTTAAAAGGCAAAACTGCAATTGTGACATATGCAGAAAGGCATCTGTGGGCATTTGCAGTAAGCAAGCATTGTTTACGGAAGCAGAGAAATAGCAGTGAATTGGCCAGGCAGGTCTTAGAACCTTTAGGTCAGGGACAGATACTGTATAGGAATTTATGCCTAGTCCAGAGACCAGTTTACCCAAGGTAGTTTTTAGCACTTACAGCATTCTTAGGAATACTCATGAGATGGCATATCCATATTCAGTAGCCACTGCCCTGGGCCCTGAGCCCTGAGCAAGAGCTCTCATGGTGAGAGGTCCTCATGAAGGGATTGTCACCGGGAAGCTACTCATCTTGAGACTTCTGGTCTCTGAAATTACGAGCCCAAATGAACCTCAATTTTTTTCATTGTTATTATTATAACATAGCTAGTGTCAGAGACTGTGCTGCAGCAATGGAAACCAGGCAGAGGCAGGCTGGCAGGGTTCTCGCTGTTAAACCCTGAGCTGGTATTTCAGGAGACAGCGCAACTAGTTCACACATGGCATCAGCTTTAAGAAACCCTGTTTGATTTGAGAGTCATGTGGCAACAGTCTCACCATGTCTGTCCTAGAGAAAGCTCTACTGCTCCCTTGTACTTCAGCTCCCTCAGTCCCTTGGTGTCTGACTCTCTTGATGCCTGTTCTACAAAGAAAGGTTCTAGAGCACCTCAGGATTCCGTGGATGAGGATGCCTTTATCTCTTTCTGGAGTCTCACTGTCTAGCTCTGAGTTGGGTGTTCCCTCAGGGGGGCACCCTGGCTGTGGCAGCAATACTGCAATTATATTCTCCTATTCACTTTAACGTTCCAGGATCTGTGCCGTTTTCTCTTTCACTGGTCCAGACGAAAGGGATTGCTTTGGTTTCCTTTCATTCCTGTTTCCCCATCAGATGGATCTTTCCCCGATCTGTGTTGCCAGAGTATGAAGCCAGCTACAAGGAGGGAGCCTGCACTTTCTGCCTGGCGACATGTAGGCCCTTCCTGTGCTTACCAAGTATCTCTGGGGATGTAGAGCTGGCATCGCTCTCTTTCAGTTCAAGCTGAGGATACAATGCCTTCTTTCCAGGCAGGGTCAGTGGCAGAGAGGGGTCTGTGAGATTTCCTTGGGCACTGGTCGTGATGAGAAGCTCATTCCACAGCACATGCTGCCATGAAAAGAGATGTGGTGACTCACAGTAAACCAGAGCTCTTACCCAGAAGCCCCATAGCTCACATACATGCCCATGTGAGCCTAGCTACACTGTCAAAAGAAGAAGGTATTAGGAATGAGTCAGGGGTTTCAAGAAAATGGTCACACACTTGAAAATATTTTGGCCAAGCAAAAAGTTTTATGTTTCCAGCACTCACGTCAGGCAGATCACAATGACTCATGGCAACAGGCACCCTTCTGGTCTCCTCAGGCGTCTGTACTCATGTTCACACCCAAGGACACACATGGTTCAAAATTATAAAAATAAATATTTTAAAAATTATTAATGAAATACACATATTCCACTTTCTTTAAAAATTATTTCCCTCCCTCACCAACTATATTGGTTAGTTTTTACTCTCAACTTGACACAATCTAGAATCATCTGGGAAGAGAGTCTTGAGAGGAATTCTCTAGATCGGGTTGGCCTGTAGGTCTATCTATCTATGAGGTACTGTCTAGTTTGGTAATTGATATGGAAATATCTAGTCCATTGTGGAGAATACCCTTCCCTGGCCAGGGGTGTCCTGAAACCTATATGAGAGGAGAGAGCTAGCCTGAGCAAGCAATGACTCATTTCTTTGCTCTTGACTGCAGATATGCTATGACTAGCTGTGTGAGTTCCTGACTTTACTGTCCTGAAATGATAGGCAGTAACTTGGGATTATAAGCAAATAAACTTTTTTCTCTAAGGTTTTTTTTTTTTGGGGGGGGCAGGAATTGGAGCAGGTCAGGTATTTGTCATAGCAACAGAACTGAAACTAACACCAAGTCTTCAAAATTCAGTGTATGCTTTATACTTCATGCTCTTGATAAGTACAATTCACCGTACTCGAAAGGCTCCTGGTCACAAAAGCCACCTTGGAGAAGAGCCAGGACAGTAGCTTCCAGGGACCCAGAAGTCTGGGAGGATAGGACAAGACAAGGAGATCCATGGTGGCTTTGTCATGCTGGGGACTACTGGTCCTGGGGCTTCTGAGAGCAAAGCAGAAGAAATAGGTAGCCCAGTGTCTGCAGTGTGAAGAGAGGGCTCAGGGCAAGGGCCTGGGGTTAGGGACTGCTCCAGGATCTTAGTTTCTGTCATTTTGGGGAAAATTAACAGCATATTCATCACTTGCTAGCACTGGCTTAACCTCTCTCTGATCTGACTTCCCCATCTTTCTGTGGGGGCTGAGGCAGGAAGAAAGGGTTACGACTTCAGGAAGGTCTTGGTCAACTGGGTATTGCACCTCCTGTACCCCCACTGGGTGTGTTCCACACCTCTTTCCCCCAAACTCCAAGTCTTTTAATAAAACAATGAAGGATGAGAAGGAAAAGTGGAATCAACCAAATAAGTTAGTCTAGCACTGCCAGGGTGCTACCGTGGGCTTGACGTAAATCATGGGGCTTTGCTGGATTAGGTTGAAGTCTCCAGATAGCCATATCTTTGTGCTCTGTTTATGATGGTGGATTCCCTTTTCTCCACGAGGCCCTCAACATCTCCTTCCACGCCAATATGGGTGACCCCAAGTCTTGTAAGGAGTGTCACATAGCTTTCAGGAAAGATCACATTCAGCTAGCTAGCTATTCCTAGAAATAGGCCACCCTGCTAAGGATCTTCGTCTTCAGCAGTGACCCTCATACTTAGAGATTTTTCTGCCACCCATAGGGTAATTAAGCACTGTGTTCTCCTTGTGATAGGATCATCTACTGTATGGAAAATGAGGCACTGTGCCACTACATGTAAACCAAGTATTACTAACCCGTAACCCAACCCCATCAAATCAAGCACATAAACACATTCACCCTCAAAATCCCTCCCACTGCCCAAGGTTTGTAAATCCATGATTTCAAATAAATGTGGTGAGGTTTTGTTTGTGATTACCATCAGCCTTTCACCATGGCTGTCTGAGATTCATCATTTATCCGCTGCTGGGCCACCTCTCACCGGGCCTGTCCTCTGGCCCACTGGGCCTGGGACTCACCAGAGCTGGATCTCACCAGGCCTATGTCTTGGCTGAAAGCCCACCAAGCATGGGCTTTGGACCACATCTTTGCTGTGCTCAGCCCAGCAGCTTAGCCAAGAGCTGTAACACTTTGGTATCTTTTGGAACTCCTGAGTTTCCACTACCACTAAAAAAAAAAAAAAAAAAAAAAAAAAAAAGCTAAACTGTAATACTCCATGAAAAACCTTACCCACACCCCAGTTTAGCACATGGGCCTTGCTCTAAAGCTCTCTAGCCGCCTTTGAAAGAAAATATAATTGCCGTTCTCTGCCTGGAAGCCAGTTCCAGGCCCCCACCAAAATCCAGGACCCTGCCGAAGGAGAACAGCAATAAATAGTTCAGTCTCTCAGCCTGTGATCAGAGCCCTGGCATAAAAGGCACCATACTAACCATTGGTTCTGCGACAACAGGCATGACAGCAATCTGTGGCTCTCTCCAGCTCTGATCCGAAGCAAGTGAGAGGACATGGATTTATGCAGAGGAGGCTTCTATAGTGAGGGCTGGCTTTGGGCACTCTGGGGATGGGATGGTAGAGGGCTGAAAAAGCCCTGGTTAGGAAAATAGCTGCTATAGATTTTGGCCTGGGCTGGAGAGATGCCCAGGCCTAGAGAAAGCACCAGTACTCTTCTTCTAAGCAAGAAGGTGGAGGCCAAGCCCTATCTTGGGTTCCAGGATACCAGTAACTACAGGAACCACTCAGTAATCTGTTAGCACATCCCACTTTCTAAATAATTTATTATTGTTTACAAACAGGAGCAGAAAGTTTGGAGAAAACAGAACTCTGAAGGGAACGTTGAGGAGGTGGGGTGAGGGTAGGCAGGAGGCCCATATCCTGTGTGGCCATCCCCTGGCATCCGGACCTCACCCACAAATGGTCATATATAAGTGCTCAGGACTCCACTATCCTTACCAACTTCCTTGAAGCAAGAGCTTTCTGTAAGCACAAACCCTGATGGAGGAGAAGCCCAGCTCGGCTCACGTGACATCCACCGTGGTTCACATCGACACGGACAGTATCCCGCGGGATTATGTTACCTGGTCCATATTTAACACCCTGTTCATGAACAGCTGCTGCCTGGGTTTCATTGCCTATATCTACTCTGTGAAGGTGAGTGTCTGAGGTGGGAGCGATGGTCCAAGAAGGTACGTGTGAGATTGAGGCTCCTCCTGCCCTGAAGGCACCTGTGCATGCGTGCGTGCCACTCTGTGTTCGGTGTCCTGTATGTACTTATGTGTTTGTGTGTATAGACTGTGTCTATAGCACACAGAGTGCGTATGTGGGTTGTATGTATCTTGGAGATGCTCCTGTGTAGGCTAAGGCTGTCTCCACTCTGAGAGGGTTTCTCCCTGCTGCTTAGTTCCTGGAATGCCCCGGGGCACAGGGCTGTGAGCAGGTGAGCAGCCAGCGCTGGGGGTCTGCTAGACGGTCTGAGTGTGGGAAAGAGAGAGGGGTCCCTAACCTGAGGGAGGAGATTGCAGCACGCGGGAAGGACAGTGGGGGAACTACAGCAGAGCACCTGGCTCTCAGATGACTTGCTCCAAGGCTGCACTGATTATTTTGTCTCTTCTAGTCCAGGGACAGGAAGATGGTGGGCGATATGAATGGAGCCCAGACCTTTGCTTCAACTGCCAAGAACCTGAACATCAGTGCTGTGATCATCTCCATCACTATATTCATCATACTTATCATTGTATATAGCACAGTTGAAAAATAGGGAAAATATTTTTATATAACCATATAGACACTGTGAAGTATGTGCTCTTGGTGTACAGAGTCAATGGATTAAATTCTCTCATACATCGTTTTCTTGATGAAAGCATGCATGTGTTCTGCCCTTCGCAATTGCCCCTTATCCTGGATAGGGGCCCTGTCCTATCACTCTGGTCCTCATGTCAATGTTGCCCTCACACATCTGCTCACACTGGATTCAATAAATCTAGTGTCAACAGTGCTAGCTAGTGCATGTGCTAGCCATTGTGCTTGTGTGTCTCTGTCCCCTGATGGGTCCTGCACTGAGCTTACTCAGAGTTCCCCTAGCTTCCTTCTTGTCTAACAGGAGTTGTGTGTGGGGATGGGGGCGGGGAGGAAGAGGTAGTACAGGGGATCCACAACTAGGGAGGTTTCTGGCCCTCTTGCTGGAGATAGCAGCTGATAAGCATCCTGAATAGGGGGTCCTCTTTTACTTAGCAGGTTCCTAGAGTGCATAGGAAGGGCACAGGACCATGAGCTAGTGAATACTCAGTCTAGGGATAGAGGACCAGCTCAGGTCCTCCCATTTCAGGAGGAAGATAGGACCCAGACAAGCTATGTCCAAGATTTCTGTGGTGGCCTCCAGCTTGGATTCTGACCCTTACCTTCTCCCCAGCATCTCACAGGTTTACTCAGGTCAGGGGTGGGCGGCAGGAAGTGAACACAGAGTGCATTATCACTGTGAGTCCTCAGATCCTGAAATGGGGAGGGGCGGGTCTCCACAGGCCTTGGCACCCTTAACCATTAGTCTGTACTGGAAATTCACCTCTCCTCTTCCTGGATGCCCTTGTGTCTGCATTTCCACCTCATTTTGGGCATCGCAAGATTAAAAGTCACTGGAGCCCTGGGTGGCTCTGTCTCTCTGTGGGGGTACATGGCTAGTCCTGGGTCCCGAGATGATGTAAGGCACTGAGACTCATCTTGTGGGGCTAGGAGATGTGAGAGATGCCTGCTTCACCCAGGTCCGGGGTTCTGAGGCAGTAGTACCCCCTTCACTGTCCTGGGAGGTGAGGTCCCAGGAAGACTAACAGCAATGAAGGCAGGATCCCACTGGGAGCGCACTGTCATACTGGAGGGGAGTGAGTGACTCAGCAAACTAAGTCCAAGGGAGAGATGGAGGCCTTTTCAGTTTGCACCAGCCAAGGAACAAGAGTTTCTGACAAGGACCCAGTGTGGCAACTCCACTAAAACTTATGGCCCTGGGCCTTCGGAGTGCTCAACCTCAGACCCAGGTCTATGACTGAATGAAGGTAGAGACATGAGGACAAGGAGCACAGTCCCTGTGGCCACACTTCAGTCCTTCCTGATGCTGCCTATGAGCAATGCATGGGCAACTATCCTGAAGGCGTGGAAACCTCAGACAAATTAGGTGCAGTTGGACACAGGAGTAAGGCTGTGATCTCCAGACTGAACACCATCCTAACCACATGTCTGAAGTAGAACACGTGGGGCTAGATATGGCTAGTGTTTCCTACAACCCACGAGTGAGCCCATAGTAGGGCTCCTCAGCTGTGGAGAGTCCCAGTCACCAAATGTATAATTGCAGAAGCAATGGAAGGTATTATTCCTTCCCATTGTGTTGGTGGCCTGCTGGGCAAGGTTGAGTGGTCAGCTGGGTAAGGTTGAGTGGTCAGCTGGGTCAGAAGACTCCAAGCTGCTCCCTATCCAAAGCCAGAGAGTAAACAAAGCAATGTCTCATCCTGACGGGACAGGAGAGAAACTTCTGTTCCCCCAACCTACACTGTCCTGTCCCCTATACTATTCTTGTCCCCCACTCATTTTCCTCACCTGTTTCGCAGTTACAGGATAGAGGTTCTCTGGCAGGAATCAATGGATTCCAGGTAGAGGACACTAGAAAGCTACAGGGACACTAGATCAGGGTACATGGCCTTTCAGTGCCATCTCGACTGAAGGACACTGGCCATAACTGTGTGTTGTCCCCTTTGCCAACCCTGTTGGCCCTGACCTTTAGTCTTCCAGAAGTGCTTTTCAATCAATTCCTGTTCCTCTGATGATCCCTGGGCCAGCAGAGAGTGCCCTTTGCACCAAATGATAAACAGAAAGCAGCCCTCGCAGGCTCTAGTCAGAGACCCTGCCCCCAGACCAAAGCCCTACTCTGCTGCATGGTACCCTGAGCCTGAGGCCTGGCAGAAGCCTCTGTGGGGGAGAGGGTGGGTCCATGGATACTGGACTACCTAGATTCCTCCAGGCAGGAGCTTAGCAGAGATGTTGATGAAGCCAGTACCAGCCGAGGGGATGGCGAAGAGGGGTGTCCCTGTGAGGAACTCAGTGAATGAAATGACTGGACACTGGAGGAGCCACAGACCCCAAGACACAGAGCTCTAGGAAGGATGAGTGCTACAAGGTACCTTGAAGTCTGGTAGTCTGTGCTACCAAGTAGTCTGGTACAGTGGTAGTCTGGTAGAGTGGTAGTCTGGTAGTCT